AGCTATAGATTTATTCATATCGATAAAAGCGAGAGAGAGAGAGAGAGAGAGAGCAGGAAGCGACAGAGGCAGAAGCAGAAATAGAAAGAGAGAAAAGCTATAAAAAAAAGGTCATTCATCAAATAGTGACACGAAATATAGAAAAAAATTAAAGGTACCACAGTGAAGAAGCTTTGAAAGCATATTAAAAACAAATATATATGTACAGGTAGATATACAGATATATAATATTATTATTTTTGTAGTGATTATAGCGTGATCTATTGAATAAACAAGAAAAATTAGTATACCCTTTGAATAGAAAAATACCTATTATATAAAGACTTAAAAACTAAATTGAGTGTCAGTGACCAGTGGTAATAGAACTTCAAAAATCACCTGAAGTATATCAAACATAAAAATCTCAAATGCGGCAAATAAGATTTTTTTTCTCCTAAATAAGAAACGAGGTAGACTTGAAACAAGCGAATCGGACAAACAACATCAGATTCCAGTAACGTGCAAACATCACACGAAATATTTACATGTAAAATTCGTTTGGGCGTTCCATCAGTGGAATTGCATTTCGTGGGAGATGACCAAGCGAAAATCGTCAGGTCACCTTTACTTCAAACGTGGGTCGGGTAACGGGTAAAAGTGTGTGAAATAAGTCACTGGAATAGTGATATTAGTGATAGTTGACGAATAAGATACAAAATTAGCCTCTAGAACTTGCCATGAGAAGCCATATTCTTGGGAAATATAATTCTTTCTATTTGTTTCCTATTATGTCTCTCTCCAAGTAAATATTCTATAAAAATATCAAATGTTTGAGTTATAAAGATCACATTTCTCATTATTCAGCAGAATTCATACATATATGTATATGTATTAAAATATGTATGTGTTCACCCATACACACACACGCACACAGAGAATATAGATAGAATTATCATCCGTCTCTCTGTCAGCCTGATTATTCCTTTATTTTTCCCCTATTCTTTCTTGATATGTCTGCATCTCTCTCTCTCTCTCTCTCTCTCTCTCTCTCTCTCTCTCTCTCTCTCTCTCTCTCTCTCTCTCTCTCTCTCTCTCTCTCTCTCTCTCTCTTTCTTCATTGATCTATCTATTTATCTATTCATTACCCCACTATTTTTCCTCCTCCTTCGCCATCCTTCTCCATCCCTTCTCCCTTTCTTTCTCATTTCCTCCTTAAGTTTCTCCTTCTACTCAGTTTCATTCTTCTCCTTTCTCCTTCTCCCTTTACTCCATTCCCCTTCTACTGTCACGCCCACACGTACTCTCAGATAAAACAGTGAAAAAAAATCACTGAGTACGTATCGAGTTCAGGAATTTTCGTTACACTTTGTTTGCAACACTATTTGCGTGGCGAGAGAAGGGCAAGTGCTTTACAGGCCTGGAAACTACGCTAAACTTCCCTGACCTGCGATGGAATTCACGGTATTTGGGTGGGCTACGGTAGGCCATAGGGAGGGCTGTCGCGACTGGGTGTATGGGAGTGGGGACGTGGCAATGCATTCTAGTGTGTACATATATATATATATATATATATATATATATATATATATATATATATATATATATATATATATATATATATATATATATATATATATATATATATATATATATGTATATATATATATATATACATATACACACACACATACACACACACATACACACACACACACACACACACACACACACTCAGTGATTTTTTTTTACACACACACACACACACACACACACACACACACACACACATATATATATATATATATATATATATATATATATATATATATATATATATATATATGTATATATATATATATATATATATATATATATATATATATATATATATATAAACACACACACACACACACACACACACACACACACACACACACACACACACACACACACACATATCTATACATATATATATATATATATATATATATATATATATATATATATATATATATATAAACACACACACACACACACACACACACACACACACACACACACATATATATATATATATATATATATATATATATATATATATATATATATATATATATATATATATATATATAAACACACACGCACACACACACACACACACACACACACATATATATATATACATATATATATATATATATATATATATATATATATATATATATATATATATCTTTTTATATATATATATATATATTTATTTATTTATCTAAGGACTGTTTCCTCAAGCTCATAATTCGTTCCTCCGAGGGCATCCTTCAGTTTTGGATCCTCTTACGGAGCAAGATCTAGCGAGTGCGGAGGGTGTGCTTTAATCTGGACTTGTCTCTCCGTTGGGTTCCAGTAGATGTTGAGGGTCGTGTGTTCAGTGGCATTGCCGTGATGTTTGATCTGTTCCTTGTCCTGTCACAAAGTTGGGGTTCGTGTGTCTGTCATTTAGCGCCATCAAATGGGTTAACTT